AGTCCCAACAAGGAAGTCGTTCGGTTCTCTCCTCTCTCGCCCGCTTTTACACACTTCATTTTTTCGGGGGTTTTTAATACTTCGCCTAGTGATAGTGATAGTTCAGTCACGTGTATATAGAATTTAATTATTTATCATCGTTTTTTTTATACTGTGCGCGTGCGTGTTTCTCCATTTTTTATTTCGTAGGAAAATTTTTTCTACGTTTTTCGATTGTGATTAAGTGATTTTTTTTTATTTTTAAATAAACAAGATGATGGCCATTTATAGATGCCCGGGCTACTGCAATAATTGTTCGAAAGTAAAACCAGTAATAAGAAGAGGTAAATTTCTTATTATAAGTTATTAGAATTCATTAATTTTTACTTTCGTAGTTATTTTTTTTAATTTAAAAAAAATCGGAAATCTAAACGAAAAAGTTAAATTTTAAATTCATTTTGGTGAAAAGGTAAAGAATTTCATTTCGAACATTTAAAATGATTGAAAATTGAAATGATTGATTTGCATAAAAATTACAATTTTGTCAATAAGAAACATTTGTTAAATTTTAGGTTATGTTACTTAAATCATTTACTATTGACAAAAAATTGTAATTTTTATTCAAATATAACTTTAATTTGATCAAAATGTAGAAAATTAAATTCCTTACGCTTCTACCAAGGGGAATTTAAAATTTCATTTGACTTTTTCTTCTGAAATACGAAATTATGACATTGGACTAACTTTTGTTCCGATTGTTTATCGGATTTTTCCTTAAAAAGACACTTACGTAATTTTTATGAAAACTGACTGGAAATTTTTTTAGATTTTAAATTCTCTAACAAGACACTTATCTAATTTTACTAGAATCCTAAATTCCTAATAATAATAAAATTCTAATAAATTAATAAAATAAAAAATCATATTAAGAATTTAATCAAAACTATCTAAATTGAAAGTAGAGAAAAAATAGTTTTATCATTTTGATTTATTACATAAAAAAAAGTATTTTTAATATTTGTCATTCTCACGTAAAAAATCAATTAATTTTCTCTAAGTAGAAATAGAAATTATTAATAAATATTGTAATATAATTATAATATAATATATATACTATAATTATATTATAATATAAATATAATTATCTTCATACGACTGTTATTAATTCTTAAGAGGATGTCAAAGTCGATGCGATTTTCCCATTGAAGCTCAATGCAAAAATCCAATCGACTTTGACAACGCCTTAAAGTGTTTAAATATTAATTTGATTTTAATTAAAATTAATTAACAGAAAAATTATAATTCTCTTCATACAATATTTATCAGTTTTTAAAGTTTTTAATTATACACTTTTTTCAATTTTCTGATTATTATTCATAATTAATTAAAATTGTCTTTTTATTATTTTGAATAATTATCTGTAAAATACAATCTTTAATTTATTTAATAAAACGTCACTTGACAATTAGTTATTTTCGCCGTTTATTAAAAATTTAAATTTATTGAAATTTTTATTAAATTAAAATTTTTTCTACTAAAATTATTAAAATTAACCGTTTTTTAAATTCTTGAGAAAATAATATCTCGTTCAATTATAGGAAAATTTTAATTTTATTTAAACACATATTTTGAATAATTAATTGGAACCCTCTTAAAAATTCAATATCCGCCCCTGTGGTACTACGCCCCTGACATCTATTTTTCTGGGAAATTAAAAAAATTCGTATTTTATTTGTTTCTCTCAATTTTTCTTGGAAAACAACGAACCGTCCAAACTTGATGCACTTTTGTTTTATAAAAAACATGGCTTCATTTTACTATTTTTATCGTTTAGTTTGACGTCGAGAAAAATAATTGTATATATTTTTTGAAGATTCGTACCCACTTTTCTTTCATAATTTATATACACAATATAATAATTATATAATCTTTATAATTGACTTAATTGAAGTGATTGTGATAATTAAAGATTTTTTAGACCTTTTTTTTAATTAAATATGGCAACTTCTGTTAGAAGAGCAAGACTCGTCATCAAAAGACGTTACAGTGAGTTTTAATTTTTTTTTTCAATGCTATTTTCGAAAAGTGAAAAAAAATTTTTCTTCTTGGAAAATTAAAATTCAAAAAAAAAAAAAATTAATGAATACTCTTTTTTTGTTTGCTTTAAATTGAAAATGATTTCAGTCAGTATTTTTTTGCTTTTGAATGAAAACGCATAATTTTATATTGAAATTTCATTCGATTTGTGTATTTTTTCCTTTGAATAGAAATTTCTTAATAATATTCTTTTGAATTTCCTTTGTGGATATTTAAATTTTTTTCTGGGGGAAAAAAGTTTTCAATTCTTAGAAATGCTGAGAAAATTCTACAACAACTTTTTTTATCACAATGTTTATGGTAAATTTTTTTTCCGTGTGAAAATTTGAAGCTATTTTTCTGGAAATTTTGAAAAATGCAATAATTGAATAAATTAAAAATAAAATTTGGAGGTTTTGAGTGGTTCAAGTAAAAAATATTTTTTAATATTGGCCGCAAATTTTAAAAACGCGCCACTCAGGAAAATATAAAATTTTTAATATTTTAATTAAGGGTTAAAGTGATGACAATTAATAATTATTATTTACAATTCGAATAACATTGTTTAGCTAATTATAATAATTGAATACAAAGTTCAAGAACATTAAAGATTTTTATCTTCTTCATTTATAAAATTAATTCCATTTTTGTGATACAATTTTTTAAAATTTTAATTAATTGATTTATTTATTTATTATAATATAATTATAATTGTATATTAATAATTATAATATTATAATTTATTTATTTATTTATATTATAATTATATTCTTATATTATATTTTATTTATTTATTTATTTATTTATTTATTTATTTATTTATATGGGTAATAACCTATTCGTACAGAGTTAAATTTATAGAAACAGATTTAAAAATTGATAGAGAAATTTTATAATAAAGAAAATGTTAATAATAATAAATTTTTGCTAATCTTATTCATCGAGTTAGAAGCAGGTTGCCAAGATTAAATTGACACGCAGATATCAACTTTTGGGGGCTGATTTCTAACTCTGAAAGTCTTGAAGATATCCACCTGGACTTCTCCCCCCCCCCTCCCTCGGAATTAAAATCCCTCGCTTATCTCTACGAGCGTCTAATTACACGCGATGCATCATGCCTTATCTCAATTGCATGTACGTGCAACGAGAGCTATCTGCAAAAAGGGGAAATTTAATTTCATTTTCTCTTTTGTCATAAAATATCAAACCATCACGCACTACCAATAATTCTTTGCAATTTTATTTATTAATTATCATTAAATCTTTTTCGCTCTACTTAATCTGCATTTTTCAAATTTTTCTTAAAAGGAAAATTATTTTCCTAACATACTTTCACTATTTTATTTTTTCATTTTATTTGTAATGAATTTTTAGTCTAAATTATTCAACGAACTATTAATTGAAAAATAACAGTAATTATTTACAATTAATTATTCAGCGAATTATTAATTGAAAAATAATAATTATTTGCAATTAATTATTCAACGAATTATTAATTGAAAAATAACAATTATTTGCAATTAATTATTCAACGAATTATTTATTGAAAAATAACAATTATTTATTCAACGAATTATTTATTGAAAAATAATAATTATTTACAATTAATTATTCAACGAACTATTAATTGAAAAATAACAATAATTATTTACAATTAATTATTCAACGAATTATTAATTGAAAAATAACAATAATTATTTACAATTAATTATTCAATGAATTATTAATTGAAAAATGACAATAATTATTTACAATTAATTATTCAACGAATTATTAATTGAAAAATAACAATAATTATAAAACAGTAATTTTATAAAGTTATAATTTTTGATAAAGTAAAAAAAAAACAATATTCATTATTTAATATTATTTTTATTCATTAATGAACTCGGTGTATTGATTTTTATACACATTTCTCTTCTTCCATTTGATTTTTATTTTAAAATATTATTCTTGTATTTTTTTTTTTTTTATTACTCCAATTAACGTGAGTATGAAATTTTTTCAAAAAAATATTGAGATTTAAAAAAAAAATTGTATCCTCTTTGAAAGCTTTTGCTCTTAAACGCACTGTGACAATTTTAATTGGATGGTCGGTAACGAATGTAATTTTTGAAATTCATCATTTCCGGAATCCCTTGGTTGATAGGATTTGATATTTTTTTTCTAATATAACGACACACTCAATGTTGAAAATTAGCATTTTAATTAGGCAAATCCTCAGTGTACGGGAGTATATTTTTTGTCTCTTTGTTAAATTTTTTTTTGAAAGTGTATAATCTTAACGAGAGAGAGAAATATTATATATAAATTTTCTTTTTCATTAAAATAAATTGAACATGTCAAATATTGAATTCTGAGAGGTAAAAATATCAAACTCGGATATTTAAACGTTGAAGTTTTTTAAATTTTTTATTACTTATTACTTTATCTATATTGTAAAAGAGAATTTTTTATCCTTCTGCTCACTCTACATCTACTTTTATACCTTTTTTCGAAAATTTTTCTCAATTTATTCTTATTTTGATATTCTTCAAGATTTTGTATTTTCTATTTACCTCGAAATCTTTTTTATACTATTTCTAAAATTATAAAAATATTTATACTATTAATGTTTTAAAGATGAATAAAAATATATTATTAAACACTCTGTAAATTTTTAATTAGTAAAAATGTTTATAAATTTGAATTTTAGTGACTGATTTTTTGCTTTTTAATTAATAAATTTGACTAATAAATAGTAATTTCTACGAATTTATTAGTAAAATTTACTGGTCAAAAGCAATTTTGAAATTAAGTTATTAAGTTAATATATTAAAATGTAATTAATATAAAATAGATTTAGACAAAAAAATATTGAAATATTTTTCAAGAACAATACAAGAGAAAATTGTAATTGTAATTTAATGATGAATTTTGCTAATCTTGTGATGTTTTTGTTTCAGGCAAATCTCCATTCTTTCCAAGTCTCGACGAGCAGGGAGGAAATCTTTTAGACGACCCAACTGGACAATTGGATGGCGTCGGAGTCGGTGTCGGAGTTGGTGTAGGAGTTGGCATGAATGCACCACAAGCCGCACCACTTTCTTCCCCAAGTCGAAGCAGTCCACACAGTCAGGGAAGCGAAACCGGCGAACGATTTTCAAGGAAAGTCTTCGTCGGCGGTCTCCCACCAGATATCGACGAAGGTAAATTTTATTATTCTGAAAATATTTCCATTTTATTAATTTTCTATTTGTAAATGTCCTTTTTAGAGATGTGCGAAGAGTTTAATGTCTATACTTACTTTTAAAAAAGTTTAAAAAAAGTTAATAAAAAAAGTTGAGAATAATTAAACATTTTTAAAATTTCATTTTACAGATGAGATCACAGTTAGTTTTCGTCGCTTCGGGCCTTTAGTCGTTGATTGGCCTCACAAAGCTGAAAGTAAATCCTATTTTCCACCAAAGGGCTACGCTTTCCTGTTGTTTCAGGTACGTTTCCTATAAATTATAATTAATTACAAAAAAAAAATTATAAATCTCAACTCCAGCATAATTACACAAATTCAATATAATATTAAATGTTTCCTTCAATTCTTTCAGGCTTCGCACTCATCTACTAAAACCTACTATTTACTACTTTTTCACGATTAGCTACTATTTGAATACAGTTTTTAAATTTGTCACACTAAAAGATACTTTTTTCCTTAATTTTTAAAAAAATTTACACTACTTTAAATCCGCTAATAGTTTAAATAAAAAAATTATTTTCAAAAATTTTAATAAAAAACAATTTGAAATTTTTTAAAAAATTCTTTGAAATAATTCAATTATTTAAAAAAAATTTTGGAAAATGTTTCATAGGAATATAATAATTTTCATAAATAATGAAATTTTCCGTTGAAATTCAAATAGTTTCAATATCTACTACTTTAATAAAATTAAATATTTAGTAAATTCTTCCACAATTATTTAATAAATTAATTTTTTTCGATTTTTAGAAGACGTATAAAAAGTAAAAGAGTGTTTTTCTTTTACTTTTTATATACGTCTTCCAAAAATCGAAAAAAATTAATTTATTAAATACTTTAATAAAATTTCTCAAAAAAATTCAATTAGTTTAGAAAAAAATTAATAAAATTCAATACAATAATTCAATTAATATAATGAATAGGTAATTTTTCATAGTATTTCAATTATTAAAAAAATCAATAAAATTCTTTGCAAGAATTCAATTATTTTCAGAAATAATAAAATTCTTCACAGGAATTCAATTATTCAAAAAAAGTTCAATAAAATTCGTTAAAAGAATTCAATTATTCAAAAACAACAAAAAATTCAATAAAATTCTTTGCAAGAACTCAATTATTTTCAGAAATAATACAATTTTTTACAGGAATTTAATTATTATTTTTAATACAATTCGAAATGAATTTCTTGAAAAATGTAATAATTTAAAAAATTTTTTTTTGAATTCGTCAAAAAATTCAAATTATTTAAAAATTTGTTAATAAAATTCTTTGAGAAAATTTAATTTTAAGAAATATTCTATTATTCAATAAACTATTTATTTTTCTGTTTAAGTAATTTAATTCTTGTATAACTTTCTTATAAGAATTGATTTAAAAATTAATTTCAGTTAAAATTTTAGATTATAATTGAGGCCTTGGATCCAATAACTCGCCCGACGCTCGGAGACACGCGTTAATGCCAGTCGGGTAGCAGTGAGTGGCCCAGAGGCGCTCACTGCTCACTGACTGGCAGTTGCGCGTTCCTCCGAGCGTCGGGCGAGTTATTGGATCCAAGGCCTCAATTAAATATTAAATGTGTTATAGTATGAATTTTAAAAAATAGTTAAATTTCAAATAGCTTTTCATTAAATTTAAAAAAAATTTGAATTCTTGTAGAAAAATGAACAATTATTTATATATTTATTGAACAAAAATCACTCAAGAATGAATATTTTTTATTTAGAAATTATGAAGAAAATTGGTCATTTGAAAAACTTCAATTAAAATTTTTTGAATACAGTTAAATTCTCGTAAAAATTAAAAATATTTATTTGAATTTCCAATTAATAATTAGAAATTTTGTCAAATTTAATTGAAATAAATTTTATATTTAAAAAAAAAATATTTTTTTTACTTTCCAAGATTATTTTTGACCTAATAATTGAATTTTAGAAGAATTCTAACTAAAAGTTTGAAAAATAATTAAATTTCATAAAAATTTAGTATTGAAATTATTAAGGATTTACAAGAAATAATCTAAAAAAAAATTTTTTTCATTAATTTTTAATTTTTGAAAAAAATCGATTTTTGTATTTTTTGAAATAACTTTTTTCTTTATATAGAAATTTTAATAAATTTTTGTGAAAATTATATTCCTGACACGAAAACGAATTGTAAATTATGATATAAATATTTTGTCAATATTTATAGAATTAATAGCTATTTTTATTTTTTACAAAAAATTCCAGTTTTTGTATTTTTTTTGTAAACTTATGTTAACAATTTAAAATAATTATTCTGTAATAAAAAATGAAGCAATTGGCAGAATATAAAGTTTAAATTTTATCAATGATTCGAAAACAATTTTATTTGAAAATTCTTGCGATTTGAATCAGTAAAATTTCACTGAAGATCAGTTAAAAATGATTGAAATTTCAGTAATTTTTCACTGATTGGACAATAATTAAAAAATAACTGAAATTTTTAATATACGTATGACAAAAATTACTAGTAATTTTTTAATGGCCATTCAGTGAATTCAACTGATTTTCAGTGAAATTCCAGCAAAATAGTCAAATTTCAAATCGCTTTTTATTAAATTAAAATAAATGTTAATTCTTGTAGAAAAATTAACAATTATTTATATATATTTATTGAACAAAAATCACTCAAGAATGAATAATATTTTATTCAAATCTTAAAAATAGAGTCACTGATTTTCAGTCAAATTTCACTGTGATCTTCACAGTGGAATTTCACTGATTCAGATTTAGAGAGTGAAGAAGCTGAATGATGAACAATAGTTGTTCATTAACAAGTTCATTGTTGAAAATTAATTATTGAGTGCGAAGCCTGTTCTTTGAATATTTTGGAATAAATAATATTCGTTAAAAGTTAAATGAATGTTCTTGTTAAAAAAATGTTATTTCTCATTCTAGGACGAGAGTTCGGTGCAGCAGTTGATTGACGCGTGCATTCAGGACGATGACAAACTATACCTGTGCGTAAGTTCACCAACAATCAAGGACAAGCCAGTGCAAATTCGACCTTGGCGCTTGAGCGACGCTGACTTTGTGCTTGACGCTTCAATGCCACTCGATCCACGAAAAACAGTTTTCGTTGGTGGGGTACCGCGACCTTTGAAAGCTGTTGAACTCGCAATGATCATGGATCGATTGTACGGCGGCGTTTGTTACGCCGGCATCGACACTGATCCTGAATTAAAGTATCCCAAAGGAGCTGGAAGGGTGGCTTTCAGCAATCAGCAAAGTTACATTGCCGCCATCTCAGCGCGTTTCGTTCAGTTACAACACGGCGACATTGACAAGAGGGTGAGAAATTCAATTCTTCAGGCCAATTTTCTTAAATACAAATTAGATTCCCGAGAAAATTTCGAATTTCCCTGCAGAAAATATTGAAAATTAACATTTTTTTGCAATTTCGTTAATTTATTTTCTGATTGGGAGTCATTTTCATCCAAACCATCAAGTTAGAAAGTTTTGTTTGTCGAAAAAGTTTATTTTCAATTCATTTTTACCAAAAAAAAATATTTACCATAAACGCTTTTTCAAAAAAATGTTTTCCAATTCAAATATCAAAAAAGGAGCATTCTTTTAAAGAGAAATCAACAATAAATCAAATAAATAATAATAATAAATCAAAAAAGCAATAATCAACTTCTTGCAACTAATTAATATTACATTTTTTTTAAAATAATTGAAATACTGTGAAGAATTTTATTATTTATGAAAATAATTGAATTCTTGCAATGAATTTTATTAATTTCTTTTTAAATAATTGAAATCCTGTAAAGAATATTATTATTTATGAAAATAAATAGGAAACTAAACAAAATTCATGCCAATGAAACGTGTTTTGTTAAAAATTTCAATATGTGAAAAAAAAATTCATGCAAACAATTAAAATTGTCAGGGAAATCAGGGAAGAGTTAAGGGCATCCGGGAAAAATCGAGCCCAAAAAGTGTTTTCCCGCGTGTCGTCTCACTCCTAAATAATTAGAGATATTTAGTTCCGATTTATCATGATAATTAGGGGAATTCGTGATGATAAAGAATATTCTCGAAATTTGCAAGTAATTTTTGAAATAAATATTGAAAAACGAAATTACAAAAGTTGGATTTTGGGCGAAAGTGAGAGACAATATGGCGGCGAGCACACAGACAAGTGGATCTATGTGTCAGTGGTCAAGGAGGTGGCGCCAATTCTCGGAAGTGGTCGCGACTTGAATTAAGGAAATGTATTAAACTCAAATTACTCCACTTTCAATCGTTAATAAAATAATTTCCTCGCAAAATTATTGCAAAAACGGAGAGGGCCGCTCCTCGGAGAGTCTTCCTCTATCACCCCTCCAAATATGAACCCGAAATATTTTATCCTCTCAAAATGAGACCGTGATACTGAACCGTAAAAAACACCTTTTTCCGTATATTTAAACAATTTTTTTCTATAATTATTTATCAAAATTTCTCCAAATTCCGAGAGGACCGCTACTCCCAGAGCATTTCTCTATATTTACCAAAAAATCCCGACTCAAAATATTCTTTTCTTTTAAATGAGACGTCTATCACGAAACCAGTATTATTTCCCGGATGCCCTTAAGGGATTTTTATTAAAGTACTGAAAAAAATTAAATTTTCAGGATTCATAATTAGTTTTATTTAATTTTTCAATATAATATACTTAACTAATTATTAAAAATTCATGGATTTATATAGAAAAATTTTAATTAAAAACACTTAAAAAAATGAATTTTAGAGAAGTTGCAAATGTTTGCAAGAATTTAATTATGATCAAAAATTAAAAAAAATTCTCGTCAAAATTTCAATTATCTTTAAAAATAATAAAATTCTTCTCCAAAATTCAATTATTTTCATAAATAATGCAAATTTCACAGGAATTCAACTTATTTACAAAATTTTTTCGAAATAATTAAATTATTTTCATAAATAATAAAATTTTTTACAGAGATTCAATTATTTTCATAAATAATAAAACTTTTTGCAGAATTTCAATTATTTTTAATATAATTTTTAATCGAATTCCTCGAAAAATGTGATTATTCTTGAAAATTTTATTAAAATTCGTCGAAAAAATTCAATTATTCAAAAATCTGTTGATAAAATTCTTTATGAGAATTAAATTTTGAAAAACATTCATTTATTCAATAATTTTTTTCATTTTTGTATTATTAAAATTATTAAAGCATTATAGCATGAATTTTTAGAAATAATTGTATTTTAAAAAAGTTTAATTGAATTTTTAAAAAAAATTATTTCCAGTTTTTATTTCCTAAATATTTAATTGAAGAATTTCCGAACAATCGAAATTTCGTAAAATTGAATTGTAAATAAATACATTTGAAAATTCTCAAGGAACTTTTTCAAAAATTATTAAAAATAATTGATAATTGAATTCTTTCTAAGAATTCAATTTTAATAAAATTTTCGAAAATAATTACATTTTTCGAAGAATTTACTTAAAATTGTATTAAAAATAATTGAAATCCTATGAAGAATTTTATTATTTAGGAGAATAATTGAATTCTTGCAACACGAATTTTATTAATTTCTTTTAAAATAACTGCAATCCTGTGAAGAATATTATTATTTATGAAAGTAATTGAATTCTTGCAACGAATTTTATTGAATTTTTTTTTTTTTGAATAATTAAATTTCTGTGAAAAATTTTATTATTTGTAAAAATAATTGAATTCTTGTCAAGAATTTTATTAAAATTTATGTAAATAAATGAATTTTTTAAAATGTTTGATAAAAATTTAGAAGAATAATTCAATTATCTCGAATAATTTAATTAAAATTTTATTAAAAATAATTGAATACTCGGGATGCATTTTATTATTTATAAAAATAATTGAATTCTTGTTTCAAACAATTTTATTAAAATAATTTAAATTCATTTCATTCGAAAAATTTTCTTGAAAAATGTATTTCAAATAATTAAATTTCTGTAAAACATTTATTATTCAATATATTAATTGATTTATTATTTTAAATTTTATTATTTTTTTTTAAATAATAATTGAATTCTTATTGAGAAATTTTATTAAAAATTAAGATTTTGAAAATATTTGAATTTCAGCGAAAAATTTCATTTCTTGTGAAATGTAATTGAATTTTTGCAAGAAATGTTTTGAAAATAATTATAATTTTCGAGGAATTAATTTCAAGTTGTATTAAAAATATTAAATTCATTTCCTTTTATTGTATTAAAAATAATTTAAATTCTAGGAAAAATTTTATTATTTATGACAATAATTGAATTTTTACAACGAATTTTATTACATTTTTTTAAAATAATTTTAATTGATGTGAAAAATTGTATTACTTGTAAAAATAATTAAATTTTTGCGAAGAATTTTATTAAAATTTTTGTAAATAATTTAATTTTTTTTTCTTAATTTTATGAAAGTTTAAATTATTATATAACATGAAGATAGCGATCGATATCTTTATGTTTTATAATAATATTCTTAAAAGTTATTGAATTTGAAAAGGTTTAAATTTGAATTGTTTAAAAATCTAAATTCCTATTGAAAAATAATAATTATTAAATATTTATTTTAAAAAGAAGTTATAGATGTTTTCGAATATTTTTACAATATTTATGAAATTCGTAAATAAATGTAATAGAACATTTTTTTGAGTATCTAATAATTTTTTAAGTGAATCAGAATATTCTTCAGGGTTAGGGAAAAAAGTCAACGTTTTGTCTGGAAATCAGGGAAAAATAAAATTAATTGTTTGTGGCAACCCTGAGTCAGTAATTTTTGAAAATTAGAAAAAATAGATTTTATGGAAATAAAGAAACTTGTAAATATCATTAACAATAGGAGATATGAAAATGAGTACTAAATATTTAAAAGTAAGGGGATAATAAAAAAGGAGAAAAAAAGAAAGAATTAAAAAAAGATAAATTTTGAGGGAACTCCTTTCGATTGATTCTATTTAAATTTTTTTTGTGTTTGAAATTACAAATAGAAGTTTTAAAGTGAAATTTACAAGTGAAATCAGAAAACTATAGTTCTGCTTTTGAGCTTTTGCTATACGATGTTATCTACCGTAGCCATGATTTTGAAATATTTTTAGAACCATTCTTATATACATGTGTATACAATGTATCCTTGCCAAGGAAAATTATCTAATCTTCAAATCTCTTTAGGTCGAAGTCAAACCCTACGTCTTGGACGATCAGATGTGTGACGAATGTCAAGGTCAACGCTGTGGAGGAAAATTTGCTCCCTTCTTCTGCGCCAACGTTACCTGCCTTCAGGTATAATCAATACATTCTTTTACCTTTAACCTTATCTTTGTATTCTTTTAGCTTTATTCCCCTTCGTTTCTTTTTTGTCAAAAGATTATATGCTTCTCTAAAAATAAAAGGAAATATATGACTTACTTTCCTTTTGCGCAACAAAGTAGAGAAATCTTTACCATTCACAAAAGTGAACTATACACATTTTATCTTAGATTTATCTAAAATTTCATCATGAAACTAAATTTACTTAAATAGTTATTAAATTTCTTATTTTGAATGTAAATAAAAATTTATTTTTTTATAAAAGTTTTTACAAAAACAGAGAAATTAGAAAAAATGTAGAGGAAATTAAATTAGTCTGGGAAAAAGTGAAGATCACATCTAAAATAATTTAGTTTTTAAATTTAATTTATTTTCATTTATAATTTTTACAAAAAAGTAATTGTGAATAATTTCTAAAACTTTATTAAAAATAATTGCAGGGATCACAGTTAGTCCCTTTTTTATCCCCTTAAATTAATAAAATTCCCTAAAACACCTAAAATCTTGAATTTTCTCCCCCTTTCCTCGTATTTTTAAGAAAAACTTGTAAAAATTGTCATTTTTTGGAAGTTAGAAACAATTTTAATTATGCTTGAAGAAAAAATTTTTACTTTTCGCAAACTTTGGAAAATTTTTACTATTTTGAAACAATTTTTTTTTTTATTATTTCTCAGTCTTTAAAGTTAGAAATTTTTTCATAAAAGATAAGAAATATAAAATAACTTTTACTTCTGAGAAAAATTAAAATTTTTTGAAATTTTTGCCAAATTGCATTATTTTCAGAATAAATTTTACTAAATTCAAAGTTTATTTTACTAATTTTTAATAAAATTTATTAATATTTTAACATTTCCTCTAAAAATAACAATTTTTACTATTTTCGAAATAAATTTTTATAATTTTTAATTTTTATAATTTATAAAGAAAATGGTCTTTGAAAATTGTAAAAGTTTTTCCGGAAATAACAATTTTTTATATTAAATTTTACTGGTTTCAAAGGAATTTTTTCCAAGTCCCGAGTTAATTTTTACTCTGGAAATAACGATTTTTAATGGAAAAATTTACTATTTTTAATGTCAATTTTTTTACAAAAATTGTTCAAATTTTCCTCGAACATTACAATTAGCTAATAAATATTCTTATTTTTTGAGTAAATTTTACTATTTTTTAAATCAATTTTTATAGCTTTTATTTAAAAAATGGTCTTTGAAAATAGTAAAAGTTATTCTGGAAAAAACTATTTTTAATATTAAATTTTACTAATTTTGAAGGAAATTTTTTTCCAAGGCCCATTTTAATTTTAATTTTTAAATTTAAATTTAAATTTTACTAAATTTTTTATGAAATTTACTTCGTATATCGTATAAAATTCATGTAATTTTAAAACAAAAGTAGCGTTGTAGTAAAAGTTTTGAATAAAAATTCAAAGAAAGTTACAAACTACAGAAAAAGATAAAAAATATCAATAATTAACAGAAAAAGTTAAAAGTAAAAGTGAAAAATATTTAAAATAAATTTTTTTCGCTATAATACAATAATTTTTACTTAATTTAAAAATTTTCCTTTTTTTTAAACTGAATCCCCATTTTGGAAAATAAAATCCCCTATTTTACTTAAAATTACATGAAAAAATAACTGTGATCCCTGTAATTTTTATTTTTTGTAATTTTTATCAAATTTCTCCTTAAATGAAAATTTTGCTTCTGAAAATTATAATTTTTTTAATAATTGAAATTTTTTCAAATGTTTTTATGGAATCAGGCAAAAAATCAAAATTCTGTCTGAAAATCAGGGTAAAAGATATTAAAATTTTTTGTGGCAACCCTGAGAAAAAACTCTTTTTAAAAAAAAGAAAATATTGTTTTGGAATGTTAATTTTTAAATTTAAAAAAAATATTGTTTTTGAATGTTAATTTTTAAAAGTTTTTTAAAATATTGTTTTTGAATGTTAATTTTTAAATAAAATTTTATTTCTAAATCAAATTTAGTAAAAATTCTGTAAAATTCAAAAAAAAAAAGATAGTAAAATTGAATTTCTCCGTTACAATTGTAAATGCAGAAAGTATTCTTTATTCATATTGAATTTAAATATTAATTATTTTATGAAATGTTTGGAAGCTTTTTTCGATTTTTAAAGACTCTTATAATTTTCCTATCAAATTACTGCCATTGCATATTCATTACATGAGAAATAGAATTTTAAAAAAATTTATCATTGTTACTGAATGTTACTTTATGAATATTTACAAAAATGGAAAAAATATATAACTATTTTTTAAAATAATTTAATGAATTCTGAGCCGCGTTAATAAATTTTCATTCTCGTGATTTATAATATTCCACATTTACTTGATTTCACTTTTAAATATTGATCACGATATTATGAAATTAATATACATACTTTAATTATAGTTAAAGCAAATAGTTAATTATTATTGGACTGATTATAGATTTATAGAAATAAAAAATTTACAGAAAATTACAATTTTCTGAAATAATATGAAACGATAGAATGAAATTGTAAAAAACGGAAAATTAAGATTAATGTAATATAGTTTTTTAAAAATTAAAGTCTATAGGTTAAAATTAGAATTAAAAAAATGAAATTAGGTAAAACTAGATTATATGCATTGTATGAATTGTACAAAATTATAAATTAATGAAACTATGTAAAAATTAATATTCGGCAAAAATAGTAAATTGTAAGCTAGAATTAAAAATGACTATAAATATTATTGCAATAATAAAAGACTTAGCAAAGAAATATAATCTCTCGCACTTGTTTCTTTCGGTAAAATAAAAAGCCCCAATCTAGATAATTATTGTATTTTTTCATTAATTGACGTGAATTATTTTTTTTTAAAGAATATTCTTTAAAATGACCTTAAACTAGCCGGTAATTGATTAAAAACTATAATTCAAGTGGTGATTTCATGTGTTGAAAATAATTGTATTGTTGATTATATAAATGCCAGTTACTTATAGCCCTCTAGCAATGTTTGTTCTTTGAAATCGGCCTTGTTTACTATTTACTCTTGTAATGAATAATAAAGTTCTACATTTCTGTCAAGTACTATCAGGGTCGTATTTTAATAAAGTAAATAAATAATCTACACCGACACAATAACTATTATTAAAATTATTGTTTTTCACTTTTCAACTAAGAATTGATTTATGCATTTTATTATTAAAAATTAAATTCAACGTTTGTTTATATAAACGGAAAAGTTTACACGCTAGGAAAATCATTCGGAATAACAAAATTCGAAGAAATGTTTTTTTAGCGTAATTTTAAACTTATTTGGTGATTCCAACAACTGAATCTTTCTCAATTTTTAAAACAGTTTAATAAAAATAAAAATCATTATTGAACATAAGTTTTAATAAAGCAAATAATATTCAATATCAAATTCTATAAAATCACAAGAACTCAAAAGTGGGATTCAATTTTAAAAGAAAAATGTTATTTTTTAATTGATTTTTTTTCAATATGTTAATGTCAATTGATGAACAAGAACAAATTCAAATTTTTTCGATTTGATAATGATATAAAATAGAGCATTCGTTAACATTCAGAGTGGCCACGTGTCAGTAAAGTGGGGTAAATGTCAGAAAAACGAAATTTTTGTCAGTAAAGTCAGAAAAAAAAGGAAAAAAATTTTTTGTCAGGAAAATTAAAAAAATTGAGACTTATTTATGAAAAAATATTTTATTAAAAAAAATATTTTATTCTAATTTTTTAAAATTTAATATTTTCAGTATTCTCAATTATTGTCAAAAAATTCAAATCTACACAAGAAATAATATTTTATTATTTTTTAGAATCATTTTTTACATTTTGGAGAAAACAATCATGTTCAAAATTTTAATTGAAATTCTTCAAAAAAAAATTAATTAGTTTTCTTAAATTATACAAAAATTCTTTTCAGGAATTCAATTTTTTTTCGAGAAAATTGCATTGCAATATTTATAAAAAACTAAGCCTTAGAATTGTTTTACCATAATTTTTAAAGATTCAATTATCTTCGAACAAAGTAAATTAAAATTTAAAAATTTTTTCTTTTGTAGATTTATTATAAAATTTTGGAAAAATCATGTTCATATTTATAATTAAAATTCTTCAAAAATTTGATTATTTTTTTATATTTTTTTTTCAAAAGTTCAATTATTCTTTAAAGATTTTACCAAATTCCAATTGTTTGGTTCAATTGTATATAATTACAGCAAAATTTCCTATTTTCAATGTCAATTTTTTAAAAAAAAATTGTTCAAATTTTCTTCGAACATTACAATTATCTAATAAATATTTTTATTTTTAGAGTAAATTTTACTATTTTTGAAATAAATTTCTATTAAAAAAAAATTAGTCTTTGAAAATAGTAAAAGTTATGCTGAAAATAACAATTTTAATATTAAATTTGACTATTTTAGAAGGAAATTTTTCCAAGTTTCAAATTAATTTTACTAATTTTTTTCTAAAATTTACTTCATATCGTAAAATTTATGAAATTTTAAAACAAAAGTAGCGTTGTAATAAATATTTTGATTAAAAATCTAAAGAATGTTACGAACTACGGAAAAGATAGAAAGAAATATTAATAATTCACAGAAAAAGTTTAATAAAAAAGTAATTTGATTTAAAAAAGCCAAGATTTTAATAAAATTCTGGGCAAAATTACAATTATTTTCAAAAATTTTCCTCAATTCAATGTTTTTTAATAAATTTATTATTTTAATCAAATTTTTCAAAAGAATTCAATTATTTAAAGAAAAATTTAAAAATTTAATAATATTCTACGCAATCCATTAATTATTTTTATAAAATAATAAAAATTTCACATGAATTCAATTATTTACAAATTTTTTATAAATTTCTTCGCAATCATTCAATTATTTTCATAAATAATAAAACTCATTGGAAAATTTCATTTAATTTTATTGCAATTTTAATCGAAATTCTCGAAATTGTAGATTGTAAATTATAAACAAATGAATTTGAAAATTGTCAAAGAAATTTTGCAAAAATTATTAAAAATAATGCATTTATAGAAGAATTTTAATTAAAAACACGAGAAGAAAAATTTAATTTTGGACAAGTTAAAAATTATTGTAGAAATTCAATTATTATATTCTTCGCGAAAATTATAATCAAAAATAATAAAAATAATAAATATTCAAAAATAATAAAATTCTTTGTTAGAGATTCAATTACTTTCACAAATAATAAAACTCATTGCAGAATTTCAATTTTTTATTTATTTTTAATACAATTTTAATCGAATTCCTCGAAAAATGTAGTAATAATTATTCTTAAAGATTTTATTAAAATTCGTCGAAAGAATTCAATTATTTTAAAATTTGTTGATAAAATTCTTTATGGGAATTGAATTTTAAAAAACATTCAATTATTCAGTAAATGATTTATTTTTGCATTTTAATAATTGAATTCTCGTAGAATTTTCTAATAAAAATTGATTTAAAAATGAATTTCAGTTAAAATTTTCGATTATAATTAAATATTAAAATCGTACCATGAATTTTTAGAAATATAATTGAATCGATCACTCCGAGTCTTCGACTCGGAGTTATCGATATCTTCATGTTTTATAGTTTTGAAAAATTTAATTTATAGTTTTAAGTAAAATGTTTCTTTATTTCACTCGGTCTGATTATATTTTTTGTCAGTTGGTTCGTGAATGGTCCGTAATTTTTAATTTTTGATCCGTATTCTAAAAGAACTTCCTAAAAATTATTTATAATAATTATGTCAGAGATGAAGTTTAGTTTAAAATTGTAGAAAATAATTATATTCAGGAAGGGTTTAATTTTAATTTTTAGAAAATATTGAATTTCATAAATTTTTCTCATTTTCGGTAAACTTTCATTTTTTTCTGTAAAAAGAATTTTGTCAGGGAAAATAAGGTAATAAAGATTAACCATTTATCTTCAAAATTGAGAAGTCCTTTTTCTGCATAATTACCGAAAATAATTCTAATGTGAGTAAATTGTCAGGGAAATTGAATTAAAAAACCGAAACTCGTGACCACCCTGAACGTGAATGAAAATTGAAAAGAATGATTGAAAAGGAACGTTTAATTAATGTTGTGATCCCCAAATATTGTTGAGTGTGGAGAATTAAAGAATTTATTTGTTTTCAGTACTATTGCGAGCACTGTTGGGCAACAATTCACTCCCGACCAGGACGAGAGTTCCACAAGCCTCTGGTGAAGGAGGGTGCGGATCGGCCTCGCGCCGTGCCTTTTCGCTGGTGTTAACCCCAACTGCGTCGCCCCTAATTACCTCGCGGCTCTAGCTAATTAACTACCACTTCTACAATGCCCTGAACCCATTATACCTTTACCCACCTTACCTAGTCACAAGTACTACTACTCGATTGTCACTACTCCACTCTTCTACTACTACTACTATTACTACTACTACTCTACTACTACTACTACTACTCTACTACTACTACTACCACTAATATGCTACGAAACTATTACTACTTATTACTCCATTACTACCCCTATTACCACCGATTTTACTCGCAAGATGATTGAAAATAAGGAAACCCGTAAACGCAAAAAAAGGAACCCACAAGATCTTCCTCTACTCTCTCGGATCTTATCACCATTAGAATTTGGACAAACAGTCCAATACAATATTCAAGAGACAAGTTCAGGAAGTTGGATCATCATCATCAACGTGTCAAGTGGATAGAAAAAAGAAAAAACCCGTATTGTCGTTAATTGAATTCTTGTAAACCTCGTCGGACCACATGTCCCGATTAAGATCGCGTGTTATTTACTTCTTCGAGAATTCTTTTATGCGAACCAGATATAATGCGGCTTATATCATTTTTCTCGTTCGACGAACAATTTTTTTTTTATTTCTCGACACAAAAAAAAACAAGCATTCTCACGACATTTGTGAAGAAAATAATCGAGAAATAAAAAACAAGTTTTCGATCGTTAAACTTCCGGAAATACAAAGAAAAAAATTCGAGGGTGGAAAAGAGGAGGAGAAGAGTAAAGAAAGTAAGGAGGGAAAAAGGGGGAGAGGGAGAGAATTAAAGAAATTAATAATATATGGGAAAAAAAAATAACGAAACACGCTCTCGTGAGAGCGCGTTATTTAATCGATAAATGGAAAACCCACGCTTTATCGCTGTGTATTAGAAGAATTCTCTGTATCACAGTTTCTAGCACCTAAGAATCTTTATTAAGTGCGTTACATAGGTACGTTAATTATAAAAAAAAGCCCGCGCGGAGAAAAATTCCTTTTTTTTCCCCCAAAAAACATCTCTCCAAAAAAAAAGAGGTGTGAGAGGTTTTTAATTTGATAGTTGAATTTTTTCGCGAGGGGCGACCTTTTAGGAGACAAATTCATCGATAATTATTTTTTCACCGGCCCCGCAGAAAGAGCATCCGGTCTTAGATTTTCAGGTGTGTCTGCCTGAAGAAAGAGAAAGACCCCTTCGCCAACGCTTCAATTTGGAAGCAAACAAAAAATATCATTCTCCCTAAATGGAAAAAATAATTCATTTTTCTAAAAAAAGAAATATTCGATAAATGCTTGTCAATTTTTGCAAATATCGTGACAGAAAAATGAAAATTTTTTCCACCTAGCGAGAAATCTTCGGATTAAATCTCCCATTGGTACAGGTTTAGAAGTGATCCGTAGAGTAGAGAAAAACGTAGGAATTCGTTAAAAGAAAAATCGTCCTTGACTTTAATGACGCAAAAAAAAAAAACGATCTATTTTCATCTAGGATAGAGGACTTTTGCTACTATCTCGTAGAATTCGACATTTGCCAAAGGCATATGTACTTTCCGAAATAACGAAATGATAGATTTTTTTTTATCTTTCTTCAAGCCAGACCAAAAAAAACCTTTTTTGCAATTCGAAAAAAGGCTTTTTTTGAGGGGAAAAAAAATAACAAAAAAACCACGAGGAAGCTCTAGGCAAAACTAAAAAAAAGAAAATTAATGATGTACGAGATCAAGCATCCTCGATGCTCACCGAATTCGACATCCAAGTGGCTAGATTGTGTGACGCGCCCACCAAAAACCGGCATTATCGTTGCTTCGTGTCCTACTTTTATATAAAAAAAAAATAACTTTTTTGTCCAAAATTTTTGCTATGGTAGACAAGTGTTTTAACTCTTAATAATAATAATAATAATATTAATAATAATTATAATAATAATAATAATATAAGGGAAAAAATAAAAAAAATCTAGCAGTGTGAGAGCGGTTTTCGTGGGCGCGTTCCAATCTAAGACAATTTTGGATTTGGCTTCAAAAAAATTAAAATCGAAGAAATTACACTCTCGAAAGTAATTCTCATACCTCTTGGTTTAGACTTACATTTGAATTTGAATTTTCGAAGAAAATAAAATAATTTCTTCGATATTAATAGCCAATGTGTCACTCGGATCAACGATTTATTTTTGTATTTTTTTCTACCTAAATCCGAGAGTCGGGAGAGGGATCGAGGATAAGGGTGTCCGAAAAGTTGAGACGCCGACAATAAGCGGAACAAATCCAATTTAAACAAAAAAAAAAAAAAAAGTAAAAGCAAATTTCATACAAAAAAAGGAAAGAAATGAAGATCTCGTTGTGCAGAGAGCGAGAAAGAAAGAAGCAAACCCTTGAGCTCGCTCGTGATCGCCCTCTAAATATTAGAGATAGGGGGGGCTTATTTTGTACATAAATGTGTAAAACCTTCTATTGCTACCTGCCCGCGCCAGCAGCGTTCGAGTGCGCACTCTTAACCACGATTTCTTCTCTCGGTGTATATAATCAAACGAATGCAATCGCGTAGTTCAAATTGAAAAAAAAAGTAACACACGTGTCCCGAAATGGGGGACAATTATTCTAATTAATTAGAAAGAGTCGAGAACGTGTTGTGTCGTGTTTCTTTCCCACTGACGGGGCAAGTTGACGCTTCTGAAGCACGATTATACGTATATACAATATATATATTATAACCAATGCGAAAATACACGAAAATACATGAAATACACGAAAATACATGAAAATACATAAAATACACGAAAATACATAAAATACACGAAAAGAAGAAACCTCTTTCGATTTACAGAACATTTCTTCAGACACAAACACCAAAACACAAAAACACGGAGAGAAAATCCACAATATGGACCCGTAAGGTTTAAGAGAAAGACAAAGTAATCTCCACATCTATATATACATATATATATAAATATAAACATATATATTTATTTTTTTGGTCTCCTTTTTGTATATAAATGGGCCACCATAGGACGTAGGTGGCGACTAGACATGCCGGAGACGAAGGAAAGAATTAGTAAGAGTCATTCTGAACTTAGCTTCTCCCCTTCGATTCTCGGTATTTCAACTGCTCGAAAAATGAAAATAAACGCGCTACGCTCTCAATGCAAAAAAAGTAAAACTAGAAAAAATGTGAAAATCGCGAAGACGCGAAAAAAATCGTGCAATATTAGCAAAGAAAAAAAAAAAAAAATGAAATCCGGCAACAAAAAACCGGGTGATTTGTGAAAATGTCTTAAAATATTATTGTTAGCATGAAAATGATTTTTATACTTTAATTAATTCTTATTATTGTTCGCTGTGGCAATTTACGTATAATTTTTTTTCTAAGTAAATTAATTTTTACTCCCTAATTTTTTTATACCTACGAATAAATTTCCTAACTCATGATTTATATTTTTCATAAATAAATTATAATAAATTTTTTTCAAATGAAATATTTGTACCTCTTTTTTTCTATTTATATTTAAGAGAATTTTTTTAAATCTTTTTTTTCAAGAAAAATCATTTGTTATAAAAATGAACAAAAAAAAAATGTTTTTTGTGTGTTTGTCTCGTCTCTTTTTGTAGTTTCTATTCATTTAGTGTTTTAAACACTTTGTTTTTAAAAAAAAACTCACAGATCACGTAGTTTTAAGGTGAAAAAAGAAAATAAAATCGAAAATTCAATAGTACAATGGGGATTTTTTGAGGCGTGCAAAAAAGAGCGAGCATTAGTTAGTGCAATTTTAACGCGAGTTACGACCTTTCACGTGACGCGCGAATTATAAAAAAAAGAATAAGGACAAAAAGCCGCGAATGGCAAAAACAAATGAACGGAAAAGCAGCATTTTTTTATTGTCTACTCGAGGCGTTGACACAAAAATAAAAAAAAATTCTATTCAAAAAAAAAAAATTTCCACATTAATTCACTTTTAAAATATTTCTTTTTGAATATTCATTAATTTTTACAAAGACCAAATTTATTTTTATAAAATTATAAAGATAAAAAATGAAAACCTTGACACGCTCTTGGGGGAAAAAATTCCGATTTTTCCTTCATTTGATTTTGCATATATATTCACGTTGCATGTCCGCCTTATTAAATAAATTCATGATCGGAGTTATCAACAAATTAAAATGTGGAAAAAGAAAAATTAACCGTACTCAACACTACTCGCGGTTAAATTTATAAAAACAAAAATATATATTGTACGTAATATAAATATGCAATTCGTAATATAAAATAAAAAAAAAATGGCGTGAACTCGCAAAAAATTTAAATTTTTCCCACAGCGCGTTTTTGTTCGTGTAACGTTTTTCTATACATCACAATTCGATATTTCGAGAGATATATTATAAACAATAAGGGAAAAAATGATAAACGAAAAAAAAAAAACAATTATATTTAACGTGGAAGGACACACCTAATACACGGACATTTAAACACGTATACAAAAAAGAAAAAAAAATGAAAAAATAAAAACACAAGCGCGACACACGCTAATCGGTATAATTGTAGCGAAACTTACCTAGGTACCAATTCACCTAAATCAATTGATAATTAAAAAATATATATTGATATACATATTATAAATAATATATATATATTATATAGAGAGTAGCAATATATTCAAGACTTTTTGACCGCCGACGTTTTTTCGACAATGGACCGTTTTTTCTAGTGAAATTTGTCTAATTTTTATGACATATAACCGGGCTATTTCCGTGAGCCTGTTTTCAATCTCATTAACCCCCCCCCCACACACCCCCGCCCCCCTACTTCCCAGTTTTTTCACTAAAAATTATCAGCCGTTTATCGCACATTTATTTTTCTATTTATTTTTTAAACTATAAAATAACTATATATATTTCTATATATATACAATATCTAACCCAAAGATATTTTTTTAATCGAATTGTGATTTATTTTTTTTGTTGGAAAACAATCTTTTTTTTTAAACCTAGAATTAACGTTTAATTGTACAAAATTTAATATATAAGGTTCTTTTTATAATTAAGTTTTTTTTCTTCTTATCTTATTGTGAAATTCCCCTAGAGAATTTCCCAAAAAAAAAAATAACAAAAGTGAGAACGGCTGTTTTTTTTAGTTAGTGACACACGATACATAAATGAAAAAAAAAAATTAACATTCTCGCAGACGCAATGTGCGTATTCTTACAATTCGAAATTACGATCGTACCTTTTTAATATGAATATAAATAATGTAGTTATTAAAAAAAAATCTCAGTTGTGTTATCGTGCTTTTTATAAAAAAAAAAAAAATAAAAGAAGATTTCTAGTGCCGAAGCGGTGCTGTTTTCATACGTGAATCAAACTGTTCTAGATGTCGTGTGAGAATTATTACTGATGCGTGAAACCACTGCTTTTGCGGTAGTACTTCACCATTTAAAAAAAAAAGAATCGAAATGCCCTGTTGTTCACTGTATCCTTGCTCATGCTCTATGGTCTAAATGATGATAAATACGCAATTCAAATTTAAAAAAAAAACATCTCCTTTAAGCGTCTTCACGTCATGAGAATTTTTCGAAAAAAGAAAACCTTCCCAGAAAAGGAACAACTTTTTTTCACACATAGAAAGAGACTTAATTCTGTTTTCAAATTTTAACAAAATTTTGCTAATTCGAAAATTTTTTTTGGTAGAACAGAAAAAATCTTCTTCCGGGAATAAAAAAAAAAAATGGAAAATTGTCTTTCTCTGCAAAATGCAGATGACAACGACTCTTTACTCCTCGTCAGAATCGAAATTATTCGTCATACGAGACACCCACATATCAAAATCGATTTTCGCACAAAAAAAACAGAGGAGAAATCAGATTTTCTTATTTCGAAACTATTTTGCGAATCTCGAGTGCATTGGGAATTTTAATTTTAATCGTGAGCTGTAATAGAGGCGCGTTGTCGGAAAAAAATCAACTCGTGAGACGCGGTTTAAAAATACACAAGAAAAAAAATTCACACAATTACATAAAAAAAAAAAAATTCACAACAATAGATGTAAAAGAATTTCGAAAAATTCATCTTAAAAAAAATAAATGCAGACAAAAATTGACTTTTCACAAAAAGATACACAAGCACGCGAAACAAAAAAACGACACACGAATGAAAGCACTCATTGACGCGTTGCACGCGTATTAACAGAAAACAAGAAAAATAATAACAATATGTTAGGTGTGATTCTTCACCTCCTTTGTAATGTGTGTGATAAAGCATAGAATATATATAATGACTATTATATATATAAATATAAATATTATATATAAAGTACTAATATATGATAATAATGATTAAAAATATTTAATATATTCTGACAGACACGAAAAAATGTAACTTTACTTTCGGGGACAAAAGTCCACTTTTTTTTTATAACTTTGAGCGGTTTTCTACCTCAGAGAAAGAATACACATAAGAAACGAACAAAAAATAAATTTTCAAATCTATTTTCAAAAAAAATTTACTAAAAATCTTTTTTTTTTCGAATTAAAATTTTTTTTCCCCGCAAAAACAATTTTTTGAGGTAGAACCTATATTTTTCATTGACTTTCGTGTCCGAACAGTATAGAGAAAAATAATTTGCACGACACGACATTAGTGAAACAGTAACAACAAAAAATTACAAAAAAATCCGGTACACAAAAAAAAAATATTCAAAATATTCAAAAAAAAACATCACTTATACACGAAACACAACAACGGTATGTAACTATGATAATAAAAAAAAAAGTAATCTTTAATGGCGCATCTCGACCGAACTCTGTCGTTCGATTTACTGAATGAATTAATTAAGGGAAAATCGTGAAAAAAAAACAAATTAAGTACGCGATGTTAAAAAAAAATAAAAACGAGAGGGGGAAAAGAGTAACAATGGTAGTCACTTACGATAGATTTGTATTTTTCAGTGTTGAAAAGTTTTTTATACCGCTGTTATATTCTTGTCTATATATCTTAGTTCCGAGCAAAAGCGAGAGCAAAAGAGAATGAGTGTAAATGCGTTTATGGAAAAAAGAGAGTGCCTCCGGGTGTGAATGATTACAAGGGGGGAGGGGGGATGAACAATTGGCTCTATAATAAGCAAAAAAAAAAAATATAAATTGGAAAGAACGGGTTCGATGTTAGTTTAATGAGATCTGATGGTTGTGGAAACTTTTGTATCTCTAAAAAATAACATCGCAGTTTTTTTGATGAAAATTAATAATGCGTGAAAGCGAATAATAATTAGGGGAAGAAATCTTTTATTTTCGAAATGAGAAATAATTTTTGCAACCCCTTTGAGAATTAATCCTGAATCATGTGTAAAAAATAAATAATAATAATAATAATATTGCAATATCGCGAAAGTGAAGAAAAAGAGTCAAATTTAAAAAAAAAAGTGATACGTGCGTGATCGTGCGTACTTCCTACAATATACCTATTATTTAATGAATAGTAATATAAATTACCCCTGCTCACCCTCCGATATACCGTTTTCCGAGGAAGATTCAAATGATTTTTATTTTTTTATATAAAAAGAAGTTATTATTATATTATTCTAATTGTAGATAAAGAAAATCCGTAGCGTTTATAATAAAAAATAGAAGATTGTTTTCTTTGTTTGTCTCTTTTATAATTATTCTCTTAATTCATATTCGACAAGAGCAATTTTTGTAATTTCTCTAAATGAAATTATAAAAAATCGATTGTCAATTTAGTTTTTGATTTTTATAAAAATAACAATATAATTCTAAGAAGAGCACCTATCGCTATATAATTATTATGTTTAATTGCTATAATGCCACTTAATACATTGTTATATTATCATTGATCGTTATCGCTATGATTCCTGTCACTATTATAATTGTAGAGATCTCCACGTACCAAAGAGACAAGGAAACAATCACACAGCCAAATTTTCATAACATTTACACGAAAAAAATAAATAAAAAAGTAAAAGCATGCATAATCAATTAATTTTAAAAATGCATTTTTGAAAATAAGACAAAATTATATAGCGCAAACGTGCACATTATTAAAAGAAAAAAAAATCCAAGTAGCCTAAGGATTTTGTGGAGACATTTATAGTGAATATCCGAGCATTAAAAGAAGGCAAGCGTTGGTTTCTGAGTCTTTTCGTGAAAC